GACCGCTGCAATAATTTTAATTTATTGTCATTTTTTTTTTAATGGGAAACTTCCAGATTACAAACATATAATTAATTAAAGATTTCATAAAAACGTACGTCCATATTTAATTAGAGATGAATCGATGATTTTCAAAGAAATTCCGCCAAGTCATCTGAAATATGTTTTGTTCTTAAATCTATAAATTGGCATCCTATGCACAGGATATTGATATAATGGTGCCCTATCATAAATCAGATCAGTAAAAGAAGTTTGTTTGTTGATTTTTCATTAATTTTTGTCCAAAAATACAACTATTACTTAGTTGTTATTAGTCTTAATCATAATATTGCCTATATTTCTTCTATAATATTTAAAAAAAATTAAAAATTAAGTTCAACGAAGCCCAATATCTTTCACATCAATAGTTATGTTTTGCAAATCAATTATTAACCACTAAAAAATATTTTTTCTACCCTAACAAGAAGCTCTATATCAATACGACATAGGTGGGCGATGCCTAACAAAATGAAGAAAGGAACTATTAAACAATATTTTTTCTACCATTACAAGAAACTTTATAATCAATACCACATAGGTGGACAAGGCCTTGAAATTAAGAAAGAAACAAAAAAAAATTGGTTAGAAGAAGAGATCCATACTTAATATTAACCAAGTTATGAGGTTTTAATGAAAACTTTATCTGAAAAAAACCTTTAATTATAATATTCTCAACATCTCAAGATAACTATGTAATTGTACACAGAATCTTTATATACCATTTTCCCATTCATTTGACTATCCATTCTTTATTAACGAAAATTTCAAACCATATATATATTTATGAATATAGGATCAGTTTTAGCAAAGTATGAGTAAGGAGTATATGACATAGTCAAGCTAATATTTTACTTAATTTACCCATATTAACATACAGACAAAAAATTAAGAGATTATTAATAGACAACAGGTAGACAAACAGTCAAAGAAGGGAACAGCTGGACATATAGATCAAAAGTGTTTAATTGATTCGTTTGTTCATGCTGGGGGTATATATAATTTTCCTTTAGAGATATTTTAATAAATTTTCTGTACTTTTCTTTTCCATTAACTTTAAGTGAAATTTAGAATCTGAACAAGACAATTAATATAAATTATATGCCTGTTCGAAATTAAGTATATATAAATGTGAAAAAAGCTGATTGATACAAGGGACGGATGTCTTTTGTATTTTTTGTTTTCGTATTATACAACTGATAGATTTGCTCAACTCTGCTAACAATATTTTAAATGTATTTAGACACTATAATGTCATACATCCAGATTTAGATGCAATGCTCCAGACTCCTTTAATAAAGTCTGGTTGCGGCGATGCAGCCCATAAATACCACTACTGTCTAACGTCTAATAATATTAAACTGTGTCTTTGTAGTCATTTCTATCAATGGTTATTACTTTTTCCTGCAGATTTCTGAGAAAATTAACTTCAAATATTAGAATTATCGCTATATTTAGAAATAAATATACCATATTATTAACCTTTACTGGTATGTAGGGTACAAAAAGAATGATCAGAAAGCAAACGATTTATATTTTACAAAATATATTTAACTGATGATGTTAATTTTTTGTATATGTTCAGACATTTCGTGTATATATTATTATACACCCATATTTAACTGGAACGTGTGCTAAACTTTAACATTGTAATGGCCAAAATATAAAAACCTTTAGGTCTTTTATTAATTAAGATAGGAAAATTTCGACAATTGAACGTAAATTGTAAGACTAAATTTACTTCGGAATTTTACAGATACTGCACACCATATATCTCTGCATAATAAAATCTATATTTGTTATGTTTGGTCTAAATATTTGGTAATTTATCTACTAACAATTGACACAACAAAAAATATTAAATAAATAGTTTATTTTCTTTCAAGATCTATAATAATGTACTAGTGAAGAATTTGAAAAATAGTTCATTATTATTCTGAGCTTTTAACATTTATTTATTTTTTTTTTCAATATTCTTAATCAATTTTTAATTCATTTCATTTTTTAACACTTTAATCTTTAATTTAAAATATAATTTATTAAAAAAAATAAACATTTCAAAAAAAGTCATCACTTCCATTTTTTTATTTCACTTTCGATCACTTAATCCTTATGTATTCTTAAAATATAGTCGTATATATATATATATTAGTCAAAGTACTGATGGACCATTTATCAATAATAATTCAAGAAATAATTGATTTATTAGAAATAATTCAAAAAAAAATATTGATATACAGTCTAACAGTCTAACAAGCTAATCCAATTATCTAACAATGTAATTATGTATTTCAAAAAGATCTGAAAGTTCGACTTGCTTGTGAAATAATTCGAATGATTTTATACAGTATTTTCTGATTTGTGTCCTTTTAAATATAGAAAGTTAAAAGCAGAATTTTCGGTTTACGGTCTTTTCGAGAATTTTTGGTTTCGGAAAAGGTTTACACATTCTGTTAATCCCATATGTATAAAGAACGCTCTGAAAGTCCAGTTAAAAATAATGAACAACTTATGTTATAAGATCGTTCAGAGATCAAATTTATTGAACTCGACCCTTCATGAGCATTTGAAATGCCCAGGGTTAATCTCAAAATACGACATATATATTCCTTACGCTCTTACACAAAGAAATTTGTTTTTGTGTTTTGTAAAAGTCAAGAAAGTGATCCATTTTTGAAAACCAATATCACTAAAGAGAGAATTGATTATTGTCTACAATAATGTTAAACTTTCAAAATCAACAAATTATAAAGATGAACCGTCCTAAAGCACTACGAAGATAGATATACCCAAATATCTTGTAACAAATATTGATATTTGTTTAGTTGGATTTTAAAGACATCATTATTTGAGTTACTACCAGACAACTTCATGATCAATTTTAAAAGGTACTGTCATTATCTGAGCATGTTGAATAATAAACGTAAACAGAAAAGTCCAAAATTGTTCAATAGAAAGGCTGCACTGTTCCACTAAGATAATATGAGATGTTTTACAAGTTTAGTAAAAAGAATCAAAAACTTTTATATAGTTTGGATAAAACTATACCCACAACATTCTCCACATCTGGTACATAATTATTTCTTCCGGTCTCTATAAAAAATTGTAGATCGCAAAAGTATTGCGTATAATTTAAATGAAATTAAGAATGGACTTGAGTTTTTTAATAGGTTGTAAGATATTAATATACGAAGCATAAACTATAAAAAATATTTTGAAAAAATAAGGTTTCTAGAAAAATTTTTGAAAGTTTTTCAATTTTGTGGTATATTACTCTTTGAATCTATTTCAGTCAAAATTGATTTTAAATATCGAATTAAAAAAATGTCTAATGGACTTAAAAATCGTGCATAAATTAAAAAATTTTATCTAACTGTTTTTCTTCCTAGACTATTTTTTTTAAGCTCAAGGCATCCCCTCCTGTATATACTATGATTTGTAAGAAAACAATCTGTACATTGATGTTTAACATAAGCAATACATGTTGTAAATAATATATCATAAAAGTAATGGGATGACATCAGGTATTAATTGTGTAAAACACACAATTTTTTTTAAAAATAAGTGGAAAATCGGTTTCTGAATAAGTAAGTTTTCCTCTTAACCGCTAGGTATACATTATTGCCAAATTGGAATAGTGTCATTATTTAATATCATGTGTTTCTTTAAAAAAAAAAATAAGATTAATAAGATTTAATAATATTTAATATTTAAAAAATATAAGAAACACACTGTCTTCAATGCATTGTAAATCATGACAATCTAAATTAACCCTATTTATATATGACGTATGGTTAATACTTAAAATATTCCAACAGTATTTCTTGTTAGGTAGTCTGAACCACAAATTCGGCAACAGTCTTTGAAAGCAGCCCTATCCGGTCGACATATCGTATTAGTACCCAATAAAAATATTTAAAGCTCTTCATATTAATTATGAATATTTTAATAATAAATTAATAGTTATTTAACTATCAATGATTAGTTTAATACAAAATATAAGTAAGCTATCTTGTATCTTTACAATTCATAACATTAAACAATGTTGTGTGTAAAATTGATTGGACGTAACAATTTTTTATGTTATTTATGTGTAATTTCCGAACATCGATAAATTTATATTCTCCCCCAATATTTAAATATTTTTTGTTTATTTATATATAAAAATTTTTTCTTATTTTTTTAATTAAGTGCTTCTAAACTTGTTCTTATACACTAATCATCGATTCAACTAGTTTTAGAAAGCCTTGTTAGATTATCAAAGCTCTTGCGCTCTTCATTCTGTATTAGTCGGTTGACAGGCACACTTACCTACCGTTCGCTGTTAACCAGGGAAAGTGCTATATTATTTAATTTTTATTATCAATTTGGTTTTTAATGAATTAAATTTTGTCATAAAATTGCTATAACACGCGTTGACTATAAAAGCGGTTCGGAGAACTCACCGTACAGCATTAAATAAATATATTAAAATTTAAAAAGTCATTTAATAGTTATTAAAAATTTTATTAATATTTTTAAAATGTTGCAAATGATATTGTTAAGTTTTTTATTAATAAATTTTGTGGGGGCGGAGAAGGATTATTCATGGTGTGATCCTGAACTCTGTCAAGATGGCTTAAAACATATTGCCTGTCGGACAACTGGAGTAAGTATTTTAGATTTTTCTTATAATTAAACAAAAAAATCTTAACGAAACTGGGTTACAAAATGATTATATTAGTAATAAACTAAAGTTGCTTAATTATGATAATTTTCTCCATTCGTTCAATGATTTATCAATTATTTATTATTAACTATTATATGATATATTTAAATTTACTCCTACAATTTGAATTAATATTATTTTAATTTTCCTTAATAGTTTATTTACTTATTAAATATTGTATAATATATAATAATTTTAATTATTATATATATATAATCTATAATATTATATCTGTCTCTTTATATCACTATTTTAGGCATTCCATCGGCGTTGTAAACCAGACTCTGTAGATGTGGATGTATCGGCATATAAATCTGTCTTCGTACATGAACACAATAAGCGTCGAAATTTTATTGCTCTGGGTTTACTACCTGGATATTATCCAGCTTCGAGGATGGCAACAATGGTAAGTTAATGACCAATATATATAATAAATAAATTTTTAATTCATAATTAATGAAATGAATTAATTTATAATTTTTATTAAAAACAAAAGTGAAAGTATTTATAGAATAATTAAAATTCATACTTTTAATTAAAGAACCTGTAAAACCTTATTTAATTTATTCAAAATTAAATATATTCAACAAAATAAGGTCTGAAACCTTGAAGGTGAGGACATTATTTGACATATCAATAGCCTCCGAGTTAGCTTAGGATACTTTCGTAAAGTATTTCTTTAGGAAACATAATGATACTTTCCTGAACAATGCTAAGCTAGAATACTTTCGGGAAGTATAACAAAACAACAGTCATAGGTCGCGGTGTACTATAACTTCTTTAACCTCTTGTAATACACACTTCATTTAAATTCTTAATAGCACAATAAATGTCATAAAAGGAGTAGTATCGAGTAATAAATTTAAATCATATAACAAAAAAAATAAATAATAAAATAAATATAAATACATTTATAAATAATATATTATTTAAATAATAACTATATTATTTAATTAATATAAATAATAATAAATAATTATAAATAATTGAAAATAAGTAAAAGTAACTATAAATAATTGTTAATAACTATTAATATTTATAAATAATTGCAAACATTTATAAATAATTATAAATATTTTTAAATAAATATAAAAAATTAAAATTAGTTATAATAAATAGGTATAAATCATAACGAATAATTAAAAAAAATTATAAATAACTATAAAAATTTATAAATAATTATAAAGAGTTATAAAAATTTATATAAAAATAAAAGTAATAAATTTTTAAAAAATTTTTTGGTTTTTAAAAGATTTTATTATATTAGAATTATTATTTATTTTTTATTTAACTATTGACCAATTAGACCAAAATTATTTTTAAAAATATTTGGTCATTAAAACAATAAATTATTATTATAAATAATTGCAAGCTATTATAAATAATTATAAAAATTTATAAATAATTAAAAAAATTCAAAATAATAACTTTTTACTGTAATGTTTTTTTTTGTTTGATTTGGCATTGTTTGGTTTATAGTAAATTATTTAAATATTATTGTTAATATTAACTTATTTCTTAATACCCCTTTTGATTATTCAAACATTAACATCAGTTCTCACATATATATAGATATATATATATATATATATGTTGTAATTTTTGATTTGAATGTTATTATCTGTTTATAGAACTTTATGATAAATACAACATAATTATAATGTTGAAGTCAATTCAGATAAAAAATTTAATCAACTATAATATTTAATCAACTAGTATATTTGGATATCTAAATTACAATACCACTTCGAATTTCTCATTATATACCGATATCTGGAGTTAGACCTTTATATTATATATGTTTGCTAGTCGCAAAATTAGTCTAGTAATATCTAGTAATCTAATTTCGTAGATAAAAATTTTTTTAAACGACATTTCAATTTTAAAGTTATGAAAAACTTCAGCTTCTATACCATAATTATTGTAAATTTACATTATAACCAGGTTGAGTTAATTAATTAGCTTATAATTTTAATTTTAATAATTATATGTACATTTTACTACTTGTACATATTATGTTAATGTATTAAAATACTATTAATAATATTAAAAAATAAAATTAATAGATAATATAACAATATAAATTCATCGCAATTTTGAAATAAATATATAATTATTTAAAAAGCTGAAAATTAATCAACAACACATTTAAAATATATTTATTGTATATCATAAATATCATAAACTGAAAACTATGTATCTCTCGCAATACTCTCTGCCTATTAACATTTTCATAATTTCAAATAACTGGAAGCTATGGTTTTTATAAAGAACATTTATATAGTATTATGATGAACAAATAAACTCCTTCACAATAACAATTTCTCAGGTTTGGGATGATGAATTGCAATACCTTTCATCGTTAAATGTACGTACTTGCATACTGGATCACGATGATTGTCATAACACATACAGATTTAAGAACTCTGGTCAAAATCTTGTTGCAGTCTATAGAGATCGTTCACCCTTTGTGAATGTAACAAGTCTAATAGAACAATCTCTAAATCTTTGGTTTGATGAGTATCCACTTATAGACAGTACATATATAGACTCATTTAAAGTCACCAAATACTTGTAAGTTATTTTAATTTCTATCAAAAAAAAAACAAAAATTATTTACATAAACAAAAAATATTAAATTATAGCGAAGACTATGGACATTTTGCCGAAATGGTTGTTGATCGAAATACTCATGTTGGTTGCTCCATTATGCGTTTTACACGGCCGGACTATCCCATCGTTTATATATATCATATTGTTTGCAATTATGGTTCAATTTATGCGCTTGAGACGCCGGTCTACACAATTGGCTACCCTGCTTCCAGATGTAAAACCGGAAAAAATCCGCACTACCCAGGACTGTGTTCGGTCAAAGAGCAAATTAATCCAAATTATTAGCACAAATTGTACAAATGTATTCCTTTATTTTCGTTGGTATTAATAAATTTAAATAGGTATTTTTAGAATTAATACACTACATGACTGGTTCATGAACACTCTTTGAAAATATTGTGTGTTATGTATTTTTGTTAATATATTAAAGAATCAACTGCACAACATCTTGAAATTGTATCATCTATAGAATTTAAGCCGGTATATAATAAAAAAATTTATTTCAAATTAAATTTGCTCATATCTTCTACTGTGATCTTTATTGCTTTATAGATATTTTTGGTGTTTTGTTTTTATAACTCAAGAACTTCTGGTTGACTGTAATGCTATCCAAGAAAAAGCTACTAGAATTACAAAAATCATAGAATAGTTTTATTACTAGTAATAAGATGACGATGATGCTCATCATCATATTTAAAAAAAATATCAATAAAAGTAATTGATATTCAATTTATAAATTATTCTGAGCTTTATAAGGCTGTGAAAATTTTTGTTGCGGTTGGATTCAGATTCAATACTCTGAAGCATTGGTTCGGTTAAAAAACCGGTTTATTTAGCTTTCGCCATCGGTTCAAAATTTGCGAGCCAATGGTTCGGTTCAATTACTTTTAAACTTCGGACGTTCCTGTTTAAAACCAGTTCGGCTAAGAGCCAGTTCACGTTCGGTTTTATAAAAGTAGGCTTAAATCATTTGTTTTTTTTTTTGTGTATATCAATATTAATAACCAATCGATTGGTACTTTATTTATATCTGCAAACATATGATAATAGAAAATATTTTTTTGAAATTTGGCTGACCATACAACGCTGTTTCGAGTATTGTCAAGTACTCATCATCAGTGGTCTTAGGAAATAATCGAATTTTAATTAGTTTATAGTGCGTATTTGTTTTGGACTGCAAGTGCCAGGCTTAGAACTCGTACCTGTCAAATTAGAAGCGGTACTAAGCAGAGCTTAATCAAAAAATCGATTTTGGGATTCATGAGTGTACTATTGTAATTTAAAGAAAAAAATTAAATATATATATACAGTACTTCATATTTTTTTTTACATATTTATATATTATTATATTGAATTTATTTGAGCCAGTGCACTTGACCACTTTTACTCTCTTTTAATTGCGAGTTATCTTCAAAACCCCTCTTTACGCCTTGACTGAATTATTGCTTATCACTTCATCAGACAAAGCAGACCTCAGATCTGTTATAAATATTTTGTTCTTTTTGATTATACTTGCTATAAGCTATATACTGAAGAAACATATTTTTGATATTGATTAGATGACTTAACAATGATATAATTTTTATAACATAAGATTATGGAAAATATCAAATATTACGCAAATTAGCTAACATATTAAATAAATTACAAAAAATTAAATATCTGTTAGTAACAAATACAAAAACAAAAAAGTTAGCTTTAGCCCCCGAAGTTTCAATACTAAGTCTACAGGGTTGGGAAATAAACGAACATATGTTGTACTTACAACGGCTCTGCATTCCTTGCTATAATCAATTTAGACACGAATAACAAAGATTAAATATAAATGCTGTAAGAAAGCATAAATATGATTTAAACTCATATGTTCATGTTTAAAAAAAGGCACTCTTTCTCACAAAAATCGTCGTTTCGTGGTCACACTTGGATATTTGGAATATCTTTTTAAATAATTATGATCAATATATTTTTATTTATAATCAAGATATGTATTTTATAAAACTAATAGTCGATTTTTTTATTACTATATGATTTTAATGATGTAATCTTCAAGTCATATCACAACCCCATAAACAGATATTTATTTTGGAAAGAGAGTACTTAACTCAATAATTATAGCATCTATGCAGAAACTTTAAAGATTTAACATATTTTAATTAAATAATTTAAAAATTTATAGCAACTCTTAATTGATTCAAAAAAAAAATTGATATTGGTTTTATATTTGTGTAGTGTTCATCGGTTCATTTTAAAGAAGTTTCTGCCCCTTAAACATAAAAAAACAAATGAAGTCAAAGCCTTTCTTTGAGACAGGCAGTCAGATCAATGGGTACATAGCCAATCTATTCCAAATGCAGAATACCTCTGATTTGATACACAGAAGCAAATCGGAGGTATTTATTTGATCTATTTGATACACAGAAGCAAATCAGAGGTATCTAGGTTAATATCTGTTAATATCTAGGTTAATATCTAGGTTAATATCTGTTAATATCTAAGTTAATAGTCTTGACAAGAACTAAGCTTTTGCGAGCCCCCTTCGTTAAGACACTCAGCGATATCTCCAGCATTAGCATTAGCCTATTTCGATCTTCTTTTACCCACTATTATGAGGAATTGTGGATTCAAAACGACTTTATTAAATAATTGAAGAGTATTCGTTCTTTCCTCCATTTCAACGAACTAACTAAAACTTTTTTTCTTGCAATAAAAGATATTTCAAGTGTTGATTTTTAAGTAAAGGACCTAAACATTTGCCTGATCCTAAATCACGAAAATCAGATAACTATATCCTGAAATAGACAATTGAAATCGAATTTTCGATTTTACCCATAACAGTATTTAACTAAAATTCGGTTCTTTATATAATAAAAAATATTTTATATTGATTCTGTGTACAAAGTATCCTAAAATATTAAATAAAACCCAAAAATATAATCCATCAATCAACATTTATTTTGATTCACAACCTTAAATCGGTGGTCTCACCGATTATGCTAGCAATACAACTGTATCAGCACATGACTCAACCCCCCAATAAATTTTTATTAGACTATTTGGTTTTCAACTCTTTTATTGAATTTTTTTTATGACCTCAATCCTTATGAGTCACTCTCTTCAAATCAGTTATTTGCCTAAAACTCTTTCAAACCGATGGTTTTCTATCATCGCAGTACACTCAAAACTATAATTACAAAAGCAACTGATGCAAACTTATTGGATAATTGATCATGCTGAAGTCCCGGATGGTGACGCATTAGAATGCTATCAATTTAGCGATATCACCAAAATAAAATTATAGTGATACTTTTACATACACTTTTCAAATTATAAAAACATATTTATATAAAACGTATATTTGAACTTCATTTCGATCCGATCGGTCCTGGTTGAAACTCTGTACAAACTGACTATTCAAATACCTCTTAATTTTATATAAAATTTTCAGACTTATAAACGAATTTTTACCACATTTGAATGGTAAGAATCATACCAACTTACGTTTCCGATAGAAGATTTTATATAAGAAACTAATTTATTTACTAATATATACATCCTATCTAAAATATTCATTTAAGTATATGCAATCCATCGGTACAGATCTACCCCCAGCTGCTATAGCCTTCAATGGATTAAGCGTTCTTATAAAATGTCCATTTTTATATTAGTTCCAATTAAACATAATGAATAATATTAATGCAATTTTGGATCTATATGATCTATGGATCTATATGGTTATATGAAATTTTGGATCTAAAATAAATTTTAAATAATGGAAAATAATATTTATTTTAATTTCTTTCAAACTAAAACTCACTGTGATGTTTTAAAATTATCATTGGTAATCAAAAATTGGTTTCGTTGGTTTAATTGGTCGAAGCACATATCAACATATGTCAATATATTTGTTAAAATTTGTAAAAAAAAATTTTAAATTAAATAACAAGTAACTTAATTTAAAATTATTTTATTACATACTAGTTTCAAAACAATTGCCTCAAAAAGCTTCAATTTTTGCAATAAAAATTAATTTTATAGTTCCAATGACTTATTGATAATCTCGATATAAAAACGAGAAAAGATTCCTTGAGGGCATATCTAGTGAGTTTAGAATGTTAAGTTTTAGATCACTTTTTTTGACTCTTTTGAACTTGTAATATTCAAAGTTAGTATTATGTTTTAGTAGGTGGAACATAATGTGTTCATTTTAAATCTGACTCTTGTATGTAAAAGTATTCTGTATCTTTTATACATGTTAAATATATGTTTTCAAAATTTTTGCTGGTGCATTGATGTATCATGAGAATTGTTGATCTCACCCCAATACTTGTAGTGAGATGTTATTTTGGACTTCTAAAAGTATCTGAAATCTTACCATATTTTTGTAGTCAAATTTCTTTTATAGTTTTTGTCTGTTTTTTTTTTTTAAATCTAGAGGTGGTGGTTAAAAATTTGTTTTTTCTTGTAGGTGCCTCATCTGCATCGATCATGGGCTAACATAATCCGTATCCTTGTCATGTTTGTACCTTTCCGAAAGAGCGGTTCCCCAGAACACGCCTTCGTGGCATAATCAATTTTAGCAAACACTTATTTTCTGGATATCTTTATATATACACAAAGTATTCCATTTTTAATCGTTTCAACGTCGAGTATATAATCTAATATTTTTTTCTTTGTTCTTTCATAAAAACACTACTAAATACTACTCAAACCAACACGGTAAAAGCATACATCTATAGCAGCAGTCGATTCGAAGATTGCAGTTTATTCATAGCAGCAACAGATATTGTTCACGCTTATTTCGGGTTTGTGAAGTAAAGGAGAAAAAACGTCGAAGTTCATTTTTTTTTTAAATAAATAATAATTCTTATTTGATTATAACGACAACTTCGAGAACAAAACGCTGTTCCTTTTTTGTAAAATTCTTGCCTTCTCGATTCAAACGCCTACTGTATTAGAATCATCCCATTCATTAAACTGTCATCCTAGATAAGTATATTTGTCGACAATGTTTTTGCTATACCCGAACCAATGTAATCAGATATTTGGGAATAGTACTAAATACAATGAATTCTAATTTTTACTAGATTTTAATAGAACTTTTTGTATTCTGAACTATAATATAGTAACTGACTTACTATTTCTTCCGTTTATGCATCAGTGCTGGGCATTCTCTTAGCACATGATATACAGTTTTTCTCTCTTCTCAACAATATCTGCATTCTGAGTTTAATTGGATTCCTAACTTTGTTAGGTTATTATTCAATATACAGTGACCGATTAGTAATCTCGTTATAATTCTTAAGTTATTCTTTGTTTGTTCTATAGAATCCTTGAAGCGCTTAAGGTTATAAGTCCCTAAAAGCATTTCAAATTGTGATAGTCTTAATAGCCCTTCCCAATACAGTTCTCTTTCCTTTTCCTTAGCGCCGTTGATAAGAAGGGATAGAGTTCCTTTTGCCTAGACCGCAGCAGAGTTCTAGGCCTATTATTATTGAAGCCACGCCTCTTCTTTCGAGTTTGTTTGCCATTTCATTACCTTGGATACCAGCATGCTGCGGAATCCGTATTAAGTGCACCTGATTGTTCTAGTCAAGCATATTCAGCTTGTCAATGCACTCCCATACCAGTTTGGATGTCACGTGATAGGATATGAGTGCCTTTATAGCTGCCTGGCTGTCAGTATTGCAATTTTACGGTTCCGGTAGTTGCTTTCAAGGTTGAACCTGACGCATCTACCTATTGCGTACATTTTCGTTTTAAAGTCAAACGATTTTTGGAAAGATCTTTTTGTCATATACTTTACACTGTAATATACTTCTCTTGGAAAAGAAGTACATTTTTGTCAGTTTCAATGATCGAGTAGTAATCAGTACTGCAGCTGAGTTTGCAATCAATTTCGTTGACTTTGCTTTCTAGCTTCAAGGTTTCGGTCATTGTAGCCTAATTATTAGGATTACTATTAAATATCATTTGAAAGTTCTATAATTATTTTAATTGCATTGAACGTGGTTTATGAGCTGATCGCTTTCCGTTTATCTATGTTCACCAGTAATACTTGACAAGTATTATTAATAGTTCCAACGGATATTTTTCGTTCCCTTCTTGATTTATTTTATTGAATTTTTTTGATCTATTCATATTATTAAGAATAAACTAATAACTCATAAAACTCTTTTAAACTGCTTTTCTTGATTAATATTATTGTAGATTTCTACAAAATTCTTTTCGTTCCCTTGTTCGAAAAAAATATCTTCTGTTGATCGATCTTCTGTTTTATAGATCATAAATGAACTATTCTTACTATTCGAAATGCAATAATAACTCATACAACTCAAGTTTTTAAATTGTAAAATAATTTATTTTTATTAATTAATTTATTTATTAACTATAATTAGGATTCATTTTTTCTTCAATTGAACACAATGAAGGATAAAAAGGATTAGAGCCAGTTTCACATTCAGAAGCAGGCTCACCCACACGGTACACTTCTGCACCCACAGCATAGACACTACCATAATTACAAGCTGTATTGTATATGTACAAGAATGGATATTCAGCATGGGTGTACCGCACCATGGCGCAACCAACATGAGTATTTCGATCAATCACAGTTTCAACAAAATGTCCATATTCCTCACTGAAATATATAAAAACAGACTATAGAAATTTAAATATATGTAAAGATTTTAAAACACTTACAAATTAGATGCAACACGAAACTTGCTAATGTAACTACTATCAATCAAAGGATATTCACCAAACCATAAACCCATTGATTGTAATAAAAGATCAGTAATATTTGTTGGAAGATCATGTTGACGATCAACACCTGATAAATTTTGTCCGACATTACGGAAGCGATAGGAGTTGTGGCAAGGATCGTGATCCACATAGCAAGCCTTTAAATTTAATGCAGCCAAGTATGCAAGTTCATCATCCCAAATCATCGTTGCCATACGTGAGGCAGGATAATAGCCCGGTAATAGGCCAGCTGCTATAAAGTTGCGTCGTTTGTTGTGCTCATGTAGAATGAATGATCGATAAGGACGTAGGTCTAACATAGTTGTATCTGGTGGGCAACGTTCATTGAAATTCTAAAAGAAAATAGAAAATTTTGTAATAAATTTTATTGTTGTACTGTTGGTCTATATAGTATGTCATACTCCATCATTGTTGCAGGCAATATTTGTTCCGCCGTTGGGACATAATTCTGGATCACACCAAGAAAGTTTTGTACTCGCTGATAATACGGAAAATTTCGTTACATTTGCATATATGAAAATCAAACTAAGTACTTTGAAATACATTTTGTAAGACATTTTTGGTTTGCTACTTGTTCTTGGAGATATATAACACTTAATGGCTTGCTTTTCTGAAGGACTTCGGTTTATATATATACGAAATTTCTCATTATCGAAATTAGTAATTCTTATTAACTAAGTTAAATTTAAGTGAGCTAAATAAATGCCTCGTTTGACAGCGGACAAGTGTTCATCTTTTTTTATAATTAATATTTTCATTTTAATTTGACAGGCACAGGTTCGCAATTACATCAAATGTGCATCGTAATTAATATGTGTGAATAATTAACAATGCAATGAGAATTAAAAATGGAAGCGATTTTTTATACTTAAATCAATAAAAATAATGTAAAAAAATTCATTTTAATTTCCGCTCATAAACAATCGAAAATTTCGCTTGAAGCTTGAATTGTTCCCATTCACATGTGTTAAAGTTAATTCAGAATTTTTTATTACCAAAAACTTCAAACGAAAACAAAACACTTTTTCGATCCTACAACCCAAAATCTGATCTTTTTTATAATGAAAAAAAAACTCGTCAAAAAAACATTTTCAAAAAACGTGATCACTTTTTATAAACACTTTTTTTTATTTATTTTGTTTGTACTTATTATTATATTGTCATTAAAAAAGTTTAATGATGATTTTATAATAAAAATAACTGCAAAATATGGAGTAAGGCTCACAACTCAAATTGAGTCATGACTTAAAAATAAATCAAATATTTCAATCAATGGAATAATAAATTTAAATACTGACTCATTATGTTGTAATAGATAAAACCACAATTATTTCCTTAATAAAAAAAGTACTAAATATATATTTATATATATATATATTTGTATTATATTAAAATAAAACATTTATAAGTCCTTATTAATAAAATAAAAATTTCACGTGGTGATAAAACATAACTGACCTTTAAAGTGATTTTTAGGATATAGCAGTACTTCAAACAATTTAAAACAATATATTTATAAACAATATATTATTTATATTTTTTTATAACTTTATATATATGTTCACCACATATCTAAGTCACCAACTAGATAAACTTGTACGACTTCAATCAAGAACACAACAACAATGATCTTCCTAAAGACCCACCATCCATAAATACTCTAAAAACCAACCTTGCGACTACACAGGCTAGACTTAAGAAAGATTTTTGCATATAGTTTTAGAATATATATTTTTTTATAGACTTTATTTAATTATTTTAATTAAAGAAAACTTGAAAGACTTTTATTTTCTATATTTCTTCATTTGATCTATTATTTATTTAAACTGCTGGTCGAAACACGACTTTATAATTCGAGTACACTTTTATAATTGAAAGCTTTAAGCATTAATTCTACAAAAAATAGGTGTTATTTCATCCTTGTAGAAATAGTTCGTGTCGCATTGCCACATTATGTTACTCCTGTTATTCATGATACTTATATATAGCATATTATACTCTCACTTTTTCACTCACACACACAAATTTTTGTTTGCAAACTAAATGCCTAAATCCCGATAAACACAAAGACCTTTTTGATATCATCCGGAATTCGAGTACAATTCACCAAAAATTTCAAACGACAGGTTCGCTTGAACCTAAATTGAGTTCGCCGGAATGACTTTAATTGTTTATAACTTTCAAAACCTATACTTATTCTTCTTAATCTTTTTCGACGCCTTTAAAGAACTCTCCTGTCGATACAATACACTTATACCAGCGTTTCTTCCAAGCCCGTTCCTTTTAAGATATATATTAAAGATGATTTTCGGAATTGCCTTTAAAGCGCACAAGGATTTGGTTTTTACCTTTTAAATAGTAACGAAATAGTTTACTTACAGTGGCTATATTGAGCTTAAAAATAGCTAGAAGTCACATGGTGAATACAATAGATCAAAAGAGTCTGAGCTTCTAAATCGTAGTGGATTATAGTGCTAAAACAAAGAATTGTATGTTCATAATTCTGGCCTCTCTTTGTAAGTAGTTCTACGTAAACATTACATTACGCTTAATTATTATTCTCTGTTAACAGAGAGTCCTGTTCCAGCGAAAGAAATTAACAATGGATCAAATCACGATAATTTAAGAAAACTGTTAAAATCACTGTAATATTTAAACTACTTTAGCGTAATGTTTTGGGGTTGATTAATTTCTTGCACTGTTTGGCTTTAGTGGACGTCTGGTCATATGCATAGATCTAATTCTTATCTCCAGTTAATATACATTTCATTTCATTCTGTTACTCAGAAAACATTATTCGACGAAAGACGCTGTTTTTCAAAAATATTAATTATTTTTGACAACAAACGAGATTATAAACAAAACAAAACATCTCTTAAAATGTTCTGGACTTATCTAAATGATCCAAATCAATTATTAACACTATCTTTGATGTGTTTTAAGAATGCCAAAAAACCAACTTTTTTCATTTTCTTATTAAGTTCTTCATAACTTAATGTTGATGGCCATCTAGCGTGGATCTTGTATTTAACGCTTTCTCTGCCTTCTTCGAATTATTGAGACCATTTGTAAAAATTTTCTTATGACATAGTCAGATTCGGTAAACCTATTACCAAAACATCAGTTAAGAAAAAGGGTTTGTGGTGATGATTTTTTTATTCAGTGACGGAAGTCGCGAATAGTATACATCTTACCACTTTTTCCATACATCCAACTACTTGATCTTTGAAATATTTATCACAAAGCACTATAAGTTGATACAGAAATTATTGTCTAACACCACGAATCTTTGGTTACTGTCCTTTAGTAAGCTAAAAGAAAATATTTCTAAGAGCATGGTAAAGAACCGATAGGACTCTTTTCACCTAATAGAAGCTAAAACGCAAGGTTTATAGTAATTTAAACTAATCGATTTTTCTTAAATAATTAACTTAAATTAAAGAAATTATTGACAATATCAATAATTCGATATGTGCCAATACATCTAGGGATATAGACATTACCTGTACCTATGAATTGTAAAAGTCTTGAAGATATTGATGAATTCGAGATAAAAATATATTTTCGTTTCTGGTGCAAATAACAAAAAAAATTAGGTACATGAATTAAAAAATATTTTAAAGACGTATTCAAGTTATTTTAAATAAATATTCATTTTGAAACTACCACCAAATACCCAAATCACTAAACAATTCTTCATTGGAGGGTATTTCATAGTTTTCATTAACCCAGTCTGACGTATTTTCAGAAGATTTTTCCTCTTCTTTACTACCATAGTCTTTCTTATAACCAACTTCACGCAAATCCTCTTCATCATATTCATTACCATCATCCTGCACAGTTTCTAATGTACTGCGATGTAAAGTACTGGACTTATCAACTTGTGCTACCATAGGGTCTGAACTTCCAGTACTGTCATTATTATCAAGCAACGGTGCAAGATCATCACGATGACTTTTATTAGATGTGTTCCTGTTAAGATCTACTCTTGATGCGAGACGTACAATACGATCAAAAAAAATTGCAAAATGACGCCTAAAGCGTCCATAATCAAAACTCGGTTGTGCGGTGGTTTTATCGTCAACGCCATTAGCATTAGAGTTCTTGTTTCTAGTTAAAGGACCATAATGATGTAACATATCAATACCAGGTGACATTGACTCTTCCCAGCTCTATAAATGTATAGCATAAATTATTTACTATGGACAAATTTGCAAATGTTGTATTTTACAAATTACCACTTCAGTCCAGTCTTCCACTGGAGTGCATAACACTGACGATACTACATTTACGATTTTCTCTTCCATACAAAGACAGGATAACACTAATGTTGTAGTTGCGATAGAGCAAGTAAGGTCACAGCGTTGCCTGTTGTGATATAATTATTAATATAATGCCTAAAATTTATGGAATATTTACTTCTTTTCATCCTTGCGCAATTCTACTAGTTTGTCTCCTTCAATGATCAGGTGATCATAATTTTCTTCAATTTGCATTTGCAGTGTTTCTTTGGGTTCATCTGTCGATTTCTCCTGTAATTCCCGTTGTAGTGATTTAAATTGCAACCAAAGTTCATCCAATTCCGCCTTTATACCAAACATTTATATCTTTTAAAAACTTTCAACTATAATATAAACATTTTGTCAAGATTCATATTTCTGTGGCGCCCCGATTTAACAGTGAATTTGACTTAAACTGTATTTTCTAAGCAACTTTTTTTATTAAGCTATATGCCGTTATAGCCTTTATACAATATGCTTTTTCACATTGATTACGCTCACAAAAACTATACACACCATATAACACCAACTGGTATAATGTAGAATTTACATTAATGACAAAAATAACTAGTAAGGACTATCTACTCTAGCGGCCTCCTTTTTTAGGAGATCTTCGTTAACTCTAAGACCTCCCATTAAATAAAATTTGAAGCTTTCCCAATGGTTTAAGATGATTTGAAATCTCTGAGTTTTTTCCTTATACGGTAACACAATAGGCCAATGCACCTAAGTGAATCCCTTTGAAGCGCCGCTAGTACCTAATCTAACCTAACGATCTAGCGAATCTGCTTGCTGTTTAAGATTTTCATTGTAAAATTTTCATATAACCTAGAACTCCTGAAATTCCTTGTTCAATTAGAGAGCTATAGAAATAGAAATCGTGCCAGTAGTTTTACTTACAGTTTGTTTTCTGATATTTTCTTCAGTTTCGTGGTGCATATCTATTCGATGTAAGATATGCTGACTAGGTAAAAACGGAGTTGCCACAATACAATGCGTATTACGATTAATAGCTCCTTTAATTTTTCCTTTTTTGATTTTTTCTAAACTTTCTTTACTTTTCTCGTTCTCCAATGTCACAGTTATTAATCGCTCTAAAATCATGGGAAACGTTTCCAAACAGTCCGATTGAATTCTATCAAAAGAATATGAATATCAAATAAATTATTCAAATTAAATAACGTTTTGCTAAAAAAAAATAAATTACCTCAGACGATCCGAATTTTTAGCTGCAACAACAGTTACTATCTCATCCGACTTATCATCAGCGGGACATAGAAGTACTAGACCAATAGCTTGAGCATCACTTTCCGAGGATGTAAATTCCGGAAAAA